CGAACAATATTGATAGTACACGCTCACAATCCATGAGTTGATTTTTTATGGCACAAATTGATGTGATGAACCTGCTGACCTCGCAAGACAAACGATGTAGTTGCCCGCATATGCGAATCTGAAGAGCGGTCGGGCCTGGTCGATGTTCTATGGTGCACCACAAAGAATGACCATACTATTCTTTTTCGATCTACAGATGGCAAAAATATATCCAAGCATTGCCGAAATCAGAGGTCACGGTTTCAATACGATGGCACTTATTCCTGAGACTTTAACTACTTACCCCTCAGCAGGTCTGGTCAGATGAGTCCTATTGAGATATTACACACTAGGATGAGTGGTTGTTAAACCACCAGTCGTGTGCAAAGCCTCCAAAAAGGATTTTTCCACCATACTGATTGAGAAATTCGTTTCTGGTCTCCGCTATATTTACAGTATTGCTGTTAATCTGATATTTGGTTTTGACAACGGCTATTTCCGCTTTGGCAATCGTTGATTCAAAAAGCATTGCTACTTAGTCCACTCTGGTGCGAGCGCACTTTATAAACTCAGCGGATGTGCGAAGCACATGAAAAAAATAAATGACTTTCCTCAAGGAATAATTACGCCACAGTGAAGGTGATTATATTACAGNAGTACTGATAATGGATTTGCGATTTGGTTGGTGAACCCATTGTACACCTCAACCCTTCCTGATGTCAATTGTAAATCAAGAATAGCTGTCCCAAGTGGAAACAAATTTCCGGTGTACTACTTGAATCGAAACACACCAATCTTCCGATTGATGCTTCATATTTTCGAATTCAATCCTCCCACTCCCACCTCAGTAATGTTTTCTCTGTTTTCTGAAAAACTTATTCCAGGTCTTAATGCTGATACTGTGTGAATAAATATGTCATGAACTTGATTGGAGATAACTTTATTAATTTCAAGAAAGCTGAGGATTGTGTCTCTAGCCGGCATTTAATAACACATTTTGAATAGTAGAACGAAGCTCAAAACAGAAACCCTGTTTTCACAAACTGGTGATTCAGACGCTTTGTGTGTAACGCAGTCGTATCAAATTGGATCTAATTATGACCAAAGCGTTTGGAAACCGCGCATGAAGATAACATCTGAGAAACACTGACATACTAACTTGGGTCAGCTCCATTGTGAGCTAGCAGACAGTGTAATGGCACGCAATCTAATCACATGAGGGATCCAAAGATCGAATCCCGGTAGGAAGGGTGGATAGGTATCACTGTGGAGCTCTAACAATAGAAGCGTTCTAGTCTGCTGTCATCTGAGTGAATATTTGTTAGCATGCTTCGCGAATTTGACATGAGAGGTAAGTGTACACGGCGGTTTGACGAAACCAATTAACAATATCCAAATCCGTGCTTGTGAATCCATCCATACATATTGAAAAAATCTATGCATCATTGAAATTTTCATCTTATAAAACAAGAGAAAATTGCTTGTTACGTCTTTCCATTTTCGTCTGAGGAGCCACAAATATCCGGCATATTAGATAAATAACGTTGCATTATTTCATACACAGTTAATATGTACCCGTGGAAGAAAATATTTTCGAGCGTCTCCTAAGCGTTCGAAATCATAGATTCCATGTTATCTTTTTAGATATAAATGTTTTATTCCTGTGTTTATGGTGGTCGTAATTGAGTAAAATTTTCTCAGGAGACCCTCTTAAGAATTTTCAGTTTTTGATAAAAAATAAACAATGAATAAATAATGCGGCACTTCCAACTCCTCGGTACCGTAATCCACTTGAAAGTATAGTCGGCATGTTAAGGTACACACGTGATAGGACGTAAGAGAGAGGGACAAACACAACATTTGGCAATCTTCCGGTATGAAAGCAAATTTGAAAAGAAAAACATTACAAAATAAGTTTTTCTCACGTGTGCCCAACACAAAGTGGACAGTAGTACGAACCTTCTCAAACCGAAGTTGGGTTGTCAGGGTACAGGAGGAGATGATGTGTTGTCAACCACAATTTACACGAACTAGTGTCATTATTGATACTGTGTTCAATAATACTGTTTGGTGGACTCTTATATTCAGTCGCAATCGGGATGGTAGCAGCTTAAGCTTCAAAAGATAGGTGTACATCAGAAGAAGGCTCGCAAGAAATGACGCCATTGCCTCCCTGCTCGAAGAAATGATGCATGTCTTATGGAAAACTCGATTTTCTGTAGTTTTCCGTGATTTTCAACGATAAAGAGGGCGAACGATGAACTGGCATCATATCTCTTGAAAAGACAACTAATGATATTACCTAGCTTGGTTAAGAAACCTCTGCGAATAACACTCCCAGCTCGGAGAACACACAATCACCAATGGGTTACTATGTTTTGTCCTTCACATATTTACATATTCGGTTCTTTAAAGTGAGAATTCAGATGTGCATTTGAGAGAGAAAATATGCTCGAAAATGTGAGTAGTATCAGTAAAGTATCCAATCTGAAGACTATGATGGGACGAGAAATAGTTTGTCCAGTGGGCTTCAATCTCAGATTTAGACTAAGAATGGATGCCCGATGGGCTGGGGGATCAAAACGGATTGATTGCGGAATTACGGATTCGTATGCGGGACCAATTCCCGGAAAATTAATGAAATAATAAAATTGAAACTTTCAGTTTTATGAATACGCAGATAGACTGGAATCATTAAGGTTACACTCCAATCACAAACGGCACATCAGAGGAGACATGGTTATGGTAAACCAAATAATGCAAAACTCAAGCCATCGATGTCGCCCACTGCTAAAATTATCACCCAACGTTAATCTTAGAGGACATCCGTTCAAACTAGTGATCCCAAAATGCCCATTGGAATGCCGGCGTTAGTCATTCGCAGTCAGAGTGCGTTCGACCTGGAACTCTCTCCCACCCAACATCATCTGTGAACCAAGCAATGACCCTTTGAAATTTGCGACAAGATGAAGCATTAACACATGTTACATTCCAACAAAAGCGAAGCTGCGTACAGCAGTGGGAGTAGCCCGTAGCTTTAGATATTTTACACAACGAATTGTGTGTATCACTGTCTTTTAACCATAACACAAACCTATAGGATGAGAAAAGTATGAGATTTAAAGTTATTTCCATAATAAAGCTTCGAAACTTGAATAAGCTCACACCAGAAAGATAACCATTACTTGTGCGAGTATATGGAATCAACTGAATATCTGAGCGTTGACGATATCGGTTGAACATATGCATAATACACACACTTCATCGGATAACTGACCAAACTGTTCCATTTTATCCATACAAAAATTAGTAGCATCTCTGTTCTCATTTACCTCCGGAGATTGTGATTGCTTCAGATATTTACTGAACACGACGGCTATCTGGCATAAGACTATTTGGAGGGAACTGTGTGACTTGCGACCTGAAATAGACCGTGTTAAACTGTATGGAGAATGTTGCTGTTCTACCACCTGTTCCTTTCCGAGCCCATGGTGGGCTACTTTGTCCGTCTGTACACTGGAACGCTAGAGCTCAAACGAGCTGTTCATCACTGCAGAAGAGATGATATCGTGTTAGTTTGAACATGAATCGGATGATACATCTGAGCTATTATTGCAGCAATGAAAGCGTCTGATAAATATTGACAAAAATTGGATTAACATACAGTTACTATCGTTTGTCTAAAATGTGGTGGCCGAAGGCAGTTATCTCTGCCCTCGTTTTCTCCATGTTCAACAAACGAGGGCAGTGACGATGTGGAGGTGAATAGACGCCCATTCATTCTTAGGTGGGTTCTTACAGCCTTGAAAATAGAATACCCCATACGTAAATTGTCCACTTGATTGAGTTATCTTTTCCAATTTTGTTTCTGTATTTATAAAACAATTGCACCGATGTACAAACATGAATTTGAGCCAACCTCGTTATCATTGATCACAGAGTAACAGGGCATCTAATGCAGAGACGATTTGGATCGAATGGTCAGGGAAGATAAGGGTACATGAAGTTGGATGAGTCAAGACTGCGCGCAAATTATGGTGTGCTTCTACTTATTCGACAAGACATGGCACAGATATGGCAATGTAGGGTCAGTTGCCTCATATTGATCTTGAAAAATATTCATAGATGTCCAACTCACTTGTCGGCTCAGTGTGATCATAAAAATGACAAGAATATCTCAGACAAATCTTAAAAAACCTGTATGAGTCATGCGACTTTGATGAATATGCAGTGTTGGTGATTTCAAACACGAGTGAAGTAACTGATCACAGCTATTTGTGTGTTTAACGGGGAATATCAATTCATATCCTTATGACATAAACACTTACACAGAATAAACTATAACTTGAGGACAACTGGTTCTGGTCTTATTTTTCCCCGTGGACTCGCTTTTGCGAGCGAATAATCCTCTGACGAACAAAGAACTGTGGAACTTTAAGGTTGAACCACTCTCCACGCATTATCGTAAAAAAACAAGTAAATGCGGTAAAGTAAATCCATCAAAGATGAAGGTTTTGATAAACGGCAGAAGAAACGTATTCTGTGCAGTAAAATGTGGAATATAGGGGTTACTCCATATCACCGATAACCAAATTGTGATGAGAGACGAGGTACCATATGCATCCAAATGATGATTTGTCGTTGAAAATAAAACAAAATGTTGCTCATCACCACGAAAAAGAAACCGTTGTGTGCAGACATTGTACATGGTGGATAATCTGGCATGATGAAGTTCAGTCATACCAAACAATCTTAACTCTCTTTAACCATTTCCAACCCCGCTGCTCTTCAGTTATCTGTCTAAGGCTGATTCAATGTTTGCATTGTTTTTCCGTAGTTGACCGACCAGCATTCTTCACCCACACATTTCACTGATTTGCTGTTTGCGTCTATTTGCAAAGCGAATTCTCGCTTACTATGCTGTTGTACTTTTTCAGTCTCTCTGCACATTAAACGAGCTATGCTTGATTGAGCAATGTAAGCAGTGTGGTCGATAAATTGCATCATTCTTTCGTCAAGTATCACATTTGAGATGCGAGCTGAAGCACGAGTGCTTCTGTACACGTCAGGAATAAAGGTGACTTCCAGTAGTCAACGAAAATATGCAAAATATCGAAACACGACTCACCTAGGGAAACAAACAGCAAGCAAGGCGAGGATTAGCACCGAACTCATAAACAAAGCCAATCCAACGGACAAAACAAGTCCCGTGGTTACAATTTTCTCTTCCGTATCATGATCAGTTGAACTCCATCCAATCGGCTCCTTCGAATTCACATCCGCCCTGTCCTCTGCTAGGCTCGATACAGTAATCGGTTCGGTTAACTTGCTTGAAGGGTACGGAGTGGTCCAGGAATCCACACGGGTATCTGTAAAAGATGAACAAAATATCCGAGTTGACTGATAGTAAAACATTTCACGAAATGAACAATTTGTTTTTTTCCAATAACCAGGAGTGATTTATTCATAATTTCATGGATAAGGCTGATCCAGCTCTCACTTCAGTTCTTCCTAAGAATCAAGTTCATATAATATCTTAGTTTTAATCAGACCCCCTCCTCCCGTTTTAGGAGTTGAAACGGTTATGGTATTACAATACATCGAAAACAACGTATTCGCCATATTTTCCAGTTATATTGTCATTTCTATCAGGGAAATTTCTTTTAAAACGCATGAATTCTCTACTTTAAGGATAGTGGGAAGCGAAATAGTTGTAAAGTAGCCAAATCTTATAGTGTGGCCATGGGAAGCCCTTTGGAACCAGTACTTGTGGATTTATTCGTGGCGCGTTTGTAATCTCAAGCTCAGAATTTACTGAAACGAGCTACGTTATACAGAAGATATGTTGATAATATTCTCATTATTACGGATAATGTGAAACAGGCCAAGAACATCCTCAAAGGCCCAAATCGACTACGTCCGGACAATGGCCTAGGCGTCTTTGACATATACACCATTCGAAAGGCAGATAGAACTATGTCACGATCGATCTATCGTAAAACAACTTGGACAGGCCAGTGCATGAATTTTGGAAGTTTTGTGCCTATTGCATATAAACGTATTCTTGTTCATACCATATTCGGTAGAGCCCGTCGAATTCGCACTGACGACACGATATAAAAGGACAGTTTTTGTGTAATACGTTAACAAGAAATGGTTACCCCGAGGAGCGTGTTGACAAGCTCCGTAGACTGAAGATTGAAAAGCCCGTTGTTACGTCAGCGTCCAGATTGGAGATCACGATTTACTTTTCATTAAAAAGTGACGATGTAACTAATCAAATCCATCAAAGAATACGTTCGGTTGTCATTTAGACTTACTATGTGGCCAAACCCAGAATTGTGCAAGAGACAAGGAGTATACCAGTTCCCCCGGTTAATGAAAGTCCATCTCTGTACGCCAACTCAAACGTAATCTATCAATTCCAATGTGAGTGCGGACACACTTACATAGGCAGAACAGAAACACCATAAAGTACTCGGGTATTAGAACACGAGAGGACGTTTCGAATGGTTTTCACTAACGATAACGACGGAATGCTCAAGATCACCGAGGCGATTGCAATCAATCGATGGATAACAATTCTGTGTCGATATAATGACTTATTCATCACCTTGACTTTGCTATTGTGACGCCCACCCCCAATTTACAAGTGTTTATTTTTTAATCCATTCCCAAGTCCTATATAAAAATTGTACTTGTCTTCAGCAGGCACCAGTTGAAGTGCAGTGAAATCGGCCAGGACATACGTCGTGCAATGCTGCTTTATTTTCAAAGCTCATTATGAAAATTCATGAATATTTATTTATAAAAATAGTGAACAGTTATGACGCTTATCATGTTACTTCATTTCCACCGCACTCCATGTGCCTTCTTGAGTTCTGAGTTCTTGGGTTGGTTGCTTTGAAACAGAGCTAGTCAACTTGCCGATGAAAGCATACCTGTCGATTTCCTTCGGTACATACCATACCGTGGCTCCTAAATGCCATTCCCGGGAAGTAAAATTTTTTCCGTCTTTATAATAGGGAAACGGTTTTCGATTGTATTCGGGTCAAAGATTTTTGGAATTTTTCTACCGATCAAACCAGAAACTTTGAGAACAAAAGAAATCAAAAAGCCGAAATGTTTTCCATGACTAATCTCGCCTGAGACAACGGGCGTTATCTTAGAAAAGTTGGACTTTTTCTACGCCGTTGCGGGATTGTCAGTCACCGAAACCCTGCTGGATCCGTGCAAAAGATGTTGCGTTATCCGTGATCCCATTTACAGGAACCCAACAACAAGGCGTTTCTGATTTAATATCTCAAATCATAATTCGTAATGTCAATTCACTTCGAATGACCTGTGAAATAGATTGATTGGAACAAGTAAGCCAACAATGGACTCATCGGCCTTGTGTTGCTGGATAAATATCAAACATTCTTAGCAAAATAAACCAAATATCAGGAGAATTGGCAATGCGATTTGAAGTCTCTGTTGAAATCAATACATGACGTCCTTTATTTAGCGTTGGATGATGGCTGAATATGGGTGGATCTTAATTGCAGTTCAAGTTCAAATATCGTTTTCCGAAATCTCCATATGACAATTCCGATAAATCCGTCAAGAGTGTCATCCGTTATAGTTCATCGCAGCATGGTACAACTAAAACTGCACATCATGAGCGTTTTCTTTCAATCTGATTATCATTTCCTTCATGGCTATCTTTCTGAAGACACTTCCTTGGTTTTCAGTAAAACTGTGCTCCTGTTTACATTGAATTACGTACAACTTAACTACTCAAACCCAGGGTGACGCCCATCTGCAGCACATTGCATATTGGCCTAATTCTATACTAAAAATTTTGTCTTTTATCCAGTTTGGACATTGCAAAACTTCAAAATGAATATTCAACGAGCCGAATACCCCAAGGTCTATTGGTGAAGATCTACTACTACTACTTAAGCGTCCCTTTTTAAATATATTTACCACTTTTATCGGGATAGATATTTTGTGTGAGCTATTTATAACCATATATTTTTTTAATTCGATTTGAGTCATTCTTTGTCAGCATATTGAGTTTGCATCGCATGTACCAATATATGGATTTGACAAGATTTAGGCCAACCAAGATAAACGTCCAGGATAATTAATTACTAAAATGAATACACTTCCCTACCTCAGTTCACCAGTTCTTTCTGTTCTTCAGTTATAACCTTCCAACCACCAAAAATATGTTCCCGGAAACTCAGTTGGCGCCACTTTAAACAATGACACAAACGAATTTAGAACATTGCATTGGAAGAATAAGTTCCGAGTAAATGGTCGTTGCATTCGGATATCGAAGTAAAAATAAGTTATTTAAAAGTGAAATATATTTCTGTTTTAGAATTTCGTCTTACAAGTCTAATGAACATATGAAGTGGGACAATGATTTGAAGTTCAGTTGAATGTGGGTGCTCAATGCATATTTTAACATGATAGGTAACATTTTTAAATGCTAGTACTAAGAAGGACCGAGTGCAAGTGTGATGCAGTGAGTTGTACAAACCCGCGTTATGATCATCCAATTAGCCGGATATCATATTCAGATAACCAAAATACGCCCCCTAGAATGAATCAACCTTAACCCTGTTTTAAAATGATCAGGTTCGTTATTCACATGATGCGTTTCAACGTTTTCACCTACGATGTATGCACTTCTGTGGCTTTATATACATAGTCCATTTGTGACAGTATAAGTGATACACTATTCCTCTTCCTCCCTAGCGCAACCCATACCGAAAACCGAGTAACCTCTGTGTGCAGTCCTCAACTGTCCGGTGATCGAATAGGTGGCAAGCTTGCGTTAAGCTTACGAGGTTCCGGATTCGATCCCCAGTTGTATCAATGAATTCGCTCTACTGATGAAACCCACCCAATTGGAAACAGCTGTCCAGTGCTTCCTAGCTTTTCAGCTCACGCTGCATTTGCTTTATGTACGACGAGATGTATTGGTTTCGGCTGATTAACTAACAAACTGTCTGAAAACGACACCTCTTACGGTGGAAGAGAAAGCTTATAGGCCCTCCTGTTGTGAGGGAAAAATTCGATTTAAATTGTTTCACTGTACCGGCTAAACTGTTTATCACATCACGATTACTGAAAAACCGTTCAATCTCAAAATTATGGTTAATTCGATTCAACTGATAATGGGAGCATCACAACTGCCATGGCTTTCTGATTGAACTAACGAAAGAAACGTTAAATATCTAAAAGATACTCGTTGTTTATGAACGACAAGTATAGGGTGATAAGCAATCGCCAATTTTTTCCTAACAGAGTACAGTCCAACGTAAATTATTTTAAGCATCATAAGTTTACCCCTAATCAGAACAGAAGTCCGCCGTTTAATTTCAACATGTCTGTGGGGAATAGAGCGAAGCGCGGGTACTTGGTCATATGTGTCATATATCATTTATGTTTTGCGCGTTCTGGTCTATCGTTATCAAGGATTTGGAATATGGTAAACAAATGATCATATTTTGAAGGACGCTTTTAGGAATCACGGTTCTATGAAAGAACCTAAATAGCATGGACAAAAATATGTTCACCTGACTAAGTTTGATTTATTTTAGTAATATATTGTCTTCACCAATGTGAAACGAATTTTCCGACATCTGTATCAGGTTACTTGCTTAGAAATACACTCCTATCAAGTGAACGTCCATTTATTGAGCAAAAATCTTATCGAGAAATGAAACAGTAAGTTTGCGCGCTGTAACTAGAAAATGGAAAGCTTATTTCAGTTGCAGCCAACAATCGTGATTGAGAGCAGGACGTACAAGAAAACCACATATGACACAAGCCAAGAAAACTACGTTTAGCATGCGTTTGAGAAGAGAATAATACGTTCAGAAAACAATACCGAGTATGATCCAAACCATTGATAAATAGATCTTTGAAATACAGAGATGGTAACACTTAGTGCCCATATAAACTGGATGGTAACGGACTGACCCAACGAAAACTGAAACCTGCTGCTCTGTAGACCAGTGAACCAGATCGACCAAATTATGAGAAGTTTACGTCCTTTACGAGTTGCTTTATACCGAATGCATATTGTGGGGAACGGTTTGAAGCTTAATGGCGCTTTAATGAAAGTTTAAAGACCAGATCCAAAAGTCTTATCAATACAGTACACCAATCACCGTGCAGTTCGATGAAGAATAGGTGAATCCAAACAATGCGATCGCAAAGCTAAATTGCACAGGAAATAAAGATTGTGTTGTCAGGGATCGCGGATTAATGTTATGCCGTCTGCGCACACCTTGACGGAGCCTGATGTTCTGGAGTAGATAGCTTGGGATAGGTTCACGTATGCATACCCTTTCCTAGCAAACCGATCCCG